GTAGTGGTTGTATTTAATCTTAATTTAGGCTCTATTCGGTGCAACAATTTATGAAAATATTGCTTACGGTAAAAACGACAACAATGTTACAATGAAAGAAATCGAAGAAGCAGCTAAAAAAGCAAACGCACATTATTTCATAATGAAATTGCCCGATGTAATAGCAGTTAGGATACCGAAATTTCCATAAATTAACTATCAAAATTTTAGAAATATCAAACATTTGTTGGAGAAAATGGATTACAATTAAGCGGAGGAGAAAAACAGCGAATTTGTATCGCGCGAGCATTAATTAAAAATCCCAAAATTTTATTGCTCGATGAACCTACATCAGCACTAGATAATGAATCAGAAAAAATTGTTCAAAAAGCGCTGGATGACGCATGTAAAGGTTAGTACCTAAAAAGTTAGGATTACTTGTGTCTGAAACTTTTCTACTTTTTCAATTTCTTATTATACATTCAGATCGTACAACGATTGTTATCGCACATCGTTTATCAACCATTCGTCATGCTAATAAAATCTATGTGCTCGAACATGGTCGACTAATTGAAGAGGGTACACATGAAACATTGATGCTGAATGAACAAGGAAAATATTATGAGATGGCTCAAATGCAACAATCAATACCTGAAACAATGGACGAAAAAGAAGAAGACTCTGACGAATCAGACCAATACGTAAAAGGTTAGACATTCTTCTTAGTTATCAGCTAAATTCCATTTTTCATCTGATTTTTGATAGAACGTTTTAATAGAACAAGTCGTCTGATGAGTGCAACCGATGAAGGTTATGTTCGAGATGAAAAAGTATGGTTCTTTCCGCTCAATTTGTTGTCGGCGATGTACAGCATTCATTCTTTCTTCTCGCTGCATTTTTTAAAATCATAGGATAAATCATTTCATCATCATCGTTCTTCGTTTTTAAAAATATTAAAACTGAACAGTCCAGAATGGCCCTTTATTTTATGTGGTTGTTTGTCAAGCCTTATAAATGGCTCAAGAGCTCCATTATTTTCTTTGGTCGTCGCTAAAGTTCTTCAAGTATAATTGAACTAAATAGCAGCATGGATTAATATAACTTTATCTGTCGCTTTATTTCTTTTTAAGATATTTACTGAATGTGATTATGATAAACAACGACATGATCTCATAATTTTTATGTTCATTTTCTTTGGTGTTGGAATTGTTATCTTTTTATCAACGTTTTTCCAGGTAAATATTACCTTGTAGTATAAAACATTTGTTGAGAATCGTGATCAAATCGTATTTAGAATTTGAGAAGGTCTCTTTGTTCTAAAGACTGGTAAACAGTCTCGTTGATAATGATTCGTTCCTTATTTGAGCGTCAAAAACTGCATCACAAACTGTTTTCTTGGTATTTCAACATGTTTTTCCGTAAGTAGCTTTTTTAGATAAAAGCTAATGGTAATTGCAAACTATATTTTTAGCCCGATCGGGATATAGAAAGCACAAAATTTTACGTCTGCAAAAAGAGAAATGATCTATCAAACCTTTTCTTTGAGGGTGAGGTTTTGGGAGGTTTTAAACTACGGTTCTACTGTAAAGAAACTACATCCCACTTGGATTATACAAAAAAGCAAATATCCCACGGGCATATAAAAAAATATATCCGGACCATGATATTATAGCTCAATCGGAATATATATCCTGGTTGAAATATGCTTTTACATTGCCCTCACCCTCACCTTTCAGGCTTTAAGATGATCAGTTTTTGTGAAGTATTTCCTAATGCTGCACAATTTTTTAATGTAAGAGCAGAGACATGCATAGGTTTGACTGATCATACTTGTTGATGGAGTGCGTAATCTTACATAGCTGAACGAACTATGCTTACCATCATCGATTTCATTGACACGACCACGGCGATATGCCACTTGATAACCTTTAATTAAAAACTTATTTTTACTATTATCGGAGTTTTTAGAGCCACGGCTATCATAGTTACAACAATAGATATTTTTCAATTGACTAAACTGGTTGAAAGATCTATTTTCATAAGAGGAAGGAGATTATTTGAAATTAGATCGACTTTAATATAACTATTCGCATTAACGAAACTGAGTCAAGAACATACAGTAGTAATGTGGATATGTTTTGTTATGGGATGCTATCAGCGAAGAAAATCATTTTACACACATCGCCGATTATGCACTCATTCATAATCCTATTTAGTCCCGTTTTCTGACAAAACACTAAAACCCCTAGAAAATCATTTTTTACATTACAATGTCTTTATTATAGAATTTTTTATTTGCCTGTTCCGGCGAATGTCTGACGAAACGTTTGCGATCAAATGCGTTTTTAATTATTCTTCAACAAGAATTAGGTTGGTTTGATAAACAAGAAAATAATACTGGAGCATTGTGTAGAATGTTGGCATCAGATGCAGCAGAAATACAAAGCGTAAGTTTTTTAACCATGTCAAGGTTAAGCCTGTCCAACTGCTGTTCAAGCGGCCTTTCAGCATATTTGATTAGTATGAGACTATAGTTTTAAAATCAATATATCTAGAACCAAGCCCTCGGCTACCATAGTGTCGACTCTGACATGCTGTTTTTCTACTATCAGCCCTTATTATATAGATAACCACTCTTCGTCTTGGCACATTTTTTGAGACAATGGCAAGTTTATTAGGTGGTTTAATAATCGGATTAATTTACAGTTGGCGTCTAACATTTGTTGTTTACGCATTTATATTATTAATGATTTTATTTGGGGTGCTTAAAATGTATATAACAACAACGTTTATTAACAAGGAGAAACAGATGTTCGAACATGCCAGAAGGGTAAGTAATATAAAATTAATGTTCTTGTTAATTCAATATGTTCTTAAATGCATTTCCAGTCTGTAAATCTTTCTTTATTACTAAATCAAGTCTGATATGTAGGCTATATAATAGAGCCGTATCAAATAAGGAATATCTCTATCTTTTCACTTCTTGGCAAATGTGCGCAAATGTCTATATATATAGACATTTGCGCACATTTGCCAAGAAGTGAAAAGATAGAGATATTCCTTATTTGATACGGCTCTAATAGTAACAACTATTTCTCATGATTCTAAAGCTTAAATTTATTCAATATAGTTAGTAATTGGATCAATTCAAAATATACGTACAATTAAGCAATTAACAAAAGAGAATGAATTTGGTAACAAGTTTTGTTCAATGTTAAATAAATCATTGCAGTAAGTGATTTTTCTTCTTTTCAGTCATCCTCACCCAAGATAGCTCAACGAACGTGTGCACATTATATTTGTAGATCATCAGTTGGCAAAAATTTTCATTTATTTGCTATATTGTACGCAGTTGAAACGAGTGTTATATTTTTTATTATACCAATTGTTTTCTATGCAGCAGTCTGTTTGATTCAACATAATCAAATTAAACCCGAAAATGTTATTATGTAAATGGCAGCTCTTTCTCTACCTCGTGTTGTATGTTTTCTTTTGTTTAGAATTTTTGCCTTCGTCATATTTAGTATGCAAATTATTCAAGTTGCGTTGTCGTTGTAAGTAAGATTTCAATCTTCCAAGTGTTAGAAAAATTATTGTTATCCTTTAAAAGCAGTTGGTAGCATATCGGCTTAGGTATACTTAATAAATCAGATCGAGGTGGAGAATACAAAAATTTTAGAAAAAAGTTCTTTTCTGTCATCTTAAAGTGTTGCGTTTCTGACCCATACAAAGTGACATTTATAATTTAGAAACACTGTTATTGTACTGGTTGTAGTTGTAAGCTTCAAAACGCAAAGGAGTAGTCATCTGATAGCACTGTAATTTTTACTATAAAGACTCATTGATTGGTGAAGGATGAAGCTAATGCACTAGCAAAACAAAATTTTCTTTACCATCCATTAACTGGGATTAAAGATGAAAACTGAATTAGTTTAGAAGTACTAGGCGACTTCTTACCTAGTGAGACTTTTGATTTTCCAGTTAGCTATGCCGCACTTTACAGTTAAATGCCCTCTATAGAATGAGACATCGCTCAGCTTCTGAAGTTATGCTTTTCGTTTATTTTTTCTTTCTTCTAAATCGAGTTTTTCGTCTTCGTATCCTTCAAGAGTTTCAGGATTTCTTTGAGTTTTACATGCCAAAAGTCTCCAGTTATTATCGGAATTTTAAAAGAAGAGCATTGGACAAAATCCTTATAACTTTTTAACGAAGATAGCTAGAGATCTGCGGTTTTCAGATTCTGAAACTAGACACTCTGGGACGTAAACTTATGAAAAAATTAGGCCGCTCAATCACGTTTACCATGGTGTACCGTTCGAGACAAAATCCGAAAGCTTACCGTTCCCAAGCATGTGGACCATAGGTGATCGATCACGCTGATCATCATGGCGATGTTGGTTTCAACTCCAGAAAATCAAACTTGATGAAAAGGCGATTTTTCGTCTGTTACAGTCAAAAATTAAAAGCCGTATATTTGGCTCATTTCTGGTCCAAAATGACTGAAATTTCCAGTGAATGATTAGCAGAGATCATAGAATGTAGATCGAGTCGAAAAAATTACATAAGGTTTTCAGTTTATGTATATAATTTTTCAGCGGATTTCTGGAAAACCTCCCATGGAACTTGAACTTGAACTTGAACTTGAAAATTTATTTTCTGCCCAAGAAAACATCTCGGAACAAAGGAAAGCACAAAAAGCCAAAGGCTTGTAAATAAAGTGCCACCACGCGGAAAAGAGAACAACCGCGAGAAGAGAGTATAGAAGAAAACTACTAGAACTAAAGCTCGGATCGATTTTTATCGACTCGAACTACATTCTATGATCTCTGCTAATCATTCACTGCAAATTTCACTCTTTTTGGACAATAAATAAAATATATACGGCATTTAATTTTTGACGGTAACAGGCGAAAAATTGCCTTTTCGCCAAATTTGGTTTTCTAGAGTTGTGCTTGAGTGGGAACTGAAACGAACCTAGCCACGATGATCAGTGTGCTCGATTACCTATGGCCCACAGGTTTACATCAGAGAGTGTGTAGTTTCAGAATCTGAAAACCGCAGATCTCTAGCTATCCTCGTTAAAAAGTTATACGCATTTGCTCAATGCTCTTCTTTTAAAATACCGATAATTAGTCATGACTTTCATAGCCAGTACTTTTTCAGTACATAGCAAAGTCCGATTTTCATTTTTGTCTCTATGGAAAATAAAAAGATTTCGAGAAATGAATAAAAAACACACGTACTTCTCGATCATAACGATTTTAGATTTCTACATTTTTAATGTCGTTTTGTATGGGTCAGAAACGCAACACTTTAAGATGACAGAAAAGAACTTTTTTCTAAAATTTTTGTATTCGTTCTTTTCATATATTGCAGTGTTCAAAAACAGTTGATTGTTTGAATGACGGTCGAACTAGCTCTCTAGCATTAAACAGTACTTAAGAGAAGCAACCATAATTGTATAGGATAACTATTTATGTATTATTACATATTACACTCGACGCTTCGGTCTCACCTTAGAGGCATTTTCAAGAGAAAAGAATATACAATTAAACTTTAAATACATAACTACACTACTGTACATATGTGTATGAAGATTAACCGAGAGAAAATTCCTGAAAGAAATGATGAAAAAGAAAAGTAAGGATATAGTAAACGTATAATTCTGGTTTTCTTTATTGCTTTTGTTCTACGCCACCATCGAGATTAGAATTTTTTGTTCGAAAGAGTCTGTCTGCATAGACAATCACAAAAACAGATCTAACAATGTTGTTGAGACTAGGTTTATTTGCAGTGATAGAGAGAGCCTCTTTTACTAATAATCTATATTGAATCACGATCAATAACTCGTCAGGTATCCAATCAACAGAGGATCACCCTCACCCTCGGTAAACAAGGTACCACAGCTTGTAAAACACATTGCGTTCGCACCGAATCTAAGCGAAACCGTTTTCTCGTTTCTAGTTATCGCGAGAGTTTACAAACGGTTTCATTTTGCCAAAATCAGCAACATCTACAGGACCGCATTGAAAAACTAGTCTGAATTTTTCTAAACTGCAGCCGATGTATTATTTCCGTATCCTGAGTAAGTTTGCAACGATACAGAGACAACTTCTTTAGCCTTCCTAGATAATTTCTTCTTGTGTTGCTTGGTTTTTTTATAACTCAGAATCGAGTATAAATGTCGTTCCAGGTTTCCGTAATATGATCAGCTTGAAAATGGAATGGCATCAGTTATTTACTGAATAACACAAAAAACGGAATTAGCTACAGAGCTGTGGCTTTCAGATCACGAAAGAGGACATTCGGGGACATAATCTTGTGTAAAATGAGTCTTATCTAACAAAGTTATCATTATGTATCTGAAGCAAAAAGTCCGAGTCTATCATTTTCAATACTTCATATAGCGAGATATTGCTCTTGATACATGTGGATACAGAGCAGATATCGCTCTACAACCTGGCAAAAGCTGCAGGCAATCTCCGAGGACCTATCTAGCGACCAAATCTCAATCATAGAAGTTTCAAACACATCGTGCATAAGCTATTGCACACGCTGATTACTGTGCCAATGTTTGTTTTGTTGTCCGGGTTAAGAAAACTGCATAAGATGAATTTTTCAGAAAATACGATCTTTCCCTTGTGACTGTACCAAAATAAAAGTGATTTCAAATGGTACACTGCTTCGAAGTGTTTCATCATGTGAAACGGACAAAAGCACAGAAAGCTAAACGATACCTTGAATGCGTTTCAGAGGACCACTAAAGATCCTTGGGCGAAATATCAGTATCAAAAGAAAGTTTAACCTTTCTAAGCTGTATGGGAGGCAAAATGGAGTGGTTTTTCACACGTTGAAGCACTTTGGTTGAGAAATGAAGGTGCTATAACTTTTTTTTATCTTAGTACAGTCACAAGAGAAAGATCATATTGGATGTGGTTGAAACTTCTTTGGTTGAGAATTGGCCGCTAGATAGGTCCTCGGAGATTGCCTGCAGCTTTTGCCAGGTTGTAGAGCGATATCTGCTCTGTATCCACATGTATCAAGAGCAATATCTCGCTATATGAAGTATTGAAAATGATAGACTCGGACTTTTTGCTTCAGATACATAATGATAACTTTGTTAGATAAGACTCATTTTACACAAGATTATGTCCCCGAATGTCCTCTTTCGTGATCTGAAAGCCACAGCTCTGTAGCTAATTTCGTTTTTTGTGTTATTCAGTAAATAACTGATGCCATTCTATTTTGAAATGGATTATAGCTTTTGGGCAACGGGTTTTCGCATGTATCTTTAAAGTGGGAACGAAACTTTTATAACAATAAAGTGTCGGCATATATTTTCCATTATTTAAATTAGCAAAAATACGCCTCCCGTTTCCACTCAAAAGTCAAAATATCGCTTTGATGTTGAATTACTTGTTAGGTTCGTAATACGTTGTTGTGTATAAATAGTTTATTTACAAACTGAAAACACCCTGAACACACTCTTTACAGAAAACTCGCGGCCATTTATAACAGAGTAGACCAAAGATGGGATAAACCCAGAGTAGAGAAGATACCTAAGTGACCACAGTAAAGGAAGAAACCAAGAGATAGCACTGGGAAAGTTCCTGACAGAAAGAAAGTGAACGAAACAAATACTTGCACACTGGGGAAATCCCTGACAGAAAGAAAGAGACTGATACAGATACATATAGATGACAAACTGTCCAGTAAGTAAGAAAAGAAAGAGAACGAATATATGTACGATAGCTATTATAGAGTTCTCTCTTATGGCACGTCTATAATACGCGCCATACCACCTGCCCCCGTAAAACAAGATGAACTTCCACGTTCATCGCGGAGAAAACAAATGTCACATATATTGCTAGTCAAAGTTCCGGTACTGCCACTACCATCATCATTGAGTCAGCCTTTCCACTCGAGTCTATTCATGAGTTCAAGGCACCAGAAACGGCCATAAGTAATTCCAGTCCCCAAATGTCTTGAGCATTTTGTCATATTCCAGTAGGCAGGGGTGAAATAGACGACTACAGGCATCTAATACTTGATATATATCTGCAATACTAGTTGTTAATAATCCTCTGCTGCCAGTTGTATTACCATGAAAGGATGTTATGTGGTCCGATGATAAGCCACTACTAGATAGAGCGAACTGGAATAACGGGACTGATGACAATAATGGTTTTACTTTCCTTTTCACTAGTAAACTTTTTATCACACCATATAATTTCGACAATAAGAGTGTACGATCTTCATCCATCAGTCGAATAACACTATTGTGTAATTGTCGTTGGCGATCATCATTAACTTCTAATTCGGCTCCTTGTTCTTCGTTTTCTTCAAATACTTGTTCTACTTGTGATGTTATGGATAATGTACCTGATAGTGTACTGGTATGGAATATATGACAGGCAGCTACTGGTGTTACTCGAAATTCTTTTCGTTGCGGTCTTAGCTCATAATCAGTCCATGTTTCACCTTGTACTGGCCATTCGAATTCTTCATACTCCAGTAATGTCGACATAGGTGTCGGTGATATTGACGTGAGTGGATCGTAACGTACTTGATAGTGTTGCTGATGAAATGAATATGAGTGAGCGTGTGTAACTGCAGCTGAATCACTCGGATGTTGTTCTTCGACTGAGGAATATTTTTTCTCTAGTTCTTCAATAAATGTCTCCCATGAATTAATTTTATCCATATTCTTAATATACCAGGTTAATGCTTCTCCACGTAAAAATGTTGGAACCCAATCTAGTTTGTCATGATCTGGACACTTGGCCAACTCGAATTCAACTGTTACCGACCTTATCCAATCCGTCACATTTTCATCTTTTCTACCAAAACATTTTGGTGTTTGTTCTTCCAACGCTGTTCGGAGTAAATAGGCTACAATTTGGTCAGCCATTGTATCACCCATGTTGTTTTGTAATAATTTTGGTTCGGGTTCTATTCGTTTGTTCAATTTCAATAACACCCAATCGTTTCAATCCTTCACTAACCTGTAATAGCTCGAATTCTTCTAGTTTGCGTAACAGTTCTCTGGTTTGTACCAAATCCACAATCAACACCGGCTAGTGCACCACTTGTTAGGTTCGTAATACGTCGTTGTGTATAAATAGTTTATTTACAAACTGAAAACACCCTGAACACACTCTTTACAGAAAACTCGCGGCCATTTATAACAGAGTAGACCAAAGATGGGATAAACCCAGAGTAGAGAAGATACCTAAGTGACCACAGTAAAGGAAGAAACCAAGAGATAGCAATGGGAAAGTTCCTGACAGAAAGAATGAGAACGAAACAAACACTTGCACACTGGGAAAATCCCTGACCGATAGAAACAGAATGATACAGATACATATAGATGACAAACTGTCCAGTAAGTAAGAAAAGAAAGAGAACGAATATATGTACGATAGCTATTATAGAGTTCTCTCTTATGGCACGTCTATAATACGTGCCATAACATATAACGTTGCGTATCTACAACATGGAAATAAATGGATATTCTACTACAATGAAAGTTACATGTGAGAATCTTTTATATACCTAGGGTAACTGAACTCGTTAAAGCAGGTTCTTCTGCTGATAGTTTTATTGATCTATT